GGTAAAAATACTGTGTGAAGTTCACTTAGTGTTCTACTCACTGTGTGTGTAACCAGTGGGAGACTTCCATTTTTACTGCTGTTTTACTGCATTCTTTGTTTCAAAATTCCTGTGCAGTGTATCATGATATTCTGTCAGAGAGAAATGTATTCGTAAGGGGCTAAAGGAATTTAAAACATTTCAGAGCAATGCTAAACTGTTTTACATTCTAAGAAAAAAAATCTGCAATAGCTATATAACAATTTGTTTATATTCTAACATGACCCACCAGTTTATTTAAGGATACAGGAGCGTGTGTGTGTGTGCATTAATATTGCAAAACATAGATTAAAATAATGGTTTTAAGATTGTAAAATGAACTACTCAGGAGTTAGAAAATAACAGAACTTTTGCTTTATGATAGTGTTTAATTAAATGACATATAGCTTCCTGAGTCTCATAGTTGTAACTGGTACCTTGACAGTCACAGAAACTGGACCACTGAGTCTGAACCACCGTACAGCCACCGAATCTGGACCCATCTACTAGATAATTTAACAAGAAAGCTATCCAAATCTTCTTCCTGCTCTCCATTTGGCAGACAGAGCAATTATCAGTTTGATTTTTCTAGGCTGGGTTTTTCAAACATTGGGGGGAAATTCCCATTGAAATCAATGGGATGAGAGGTAGGCCAGTGCTGAGTACTTTTGAAATCTCACCTAACGTTTATATTTGCTTCGTTGCCATACTTTCCTTTCTCTTGGCAGTACTGTCTAAAAGAAATGTCTGATGATTCTGTTGCTCTCTTTGCTTTTTTTGTATTTGGCACTTTGCATCTTAACTGAGCAGCTATATTTTGCATGTTTCCAAAGTATTTACAGTCAATTTACCACGCAGAGAGGCTAGATCCCTACTTTTGTCCAGGATTGTCTTTATTTCTGACAAGTTGCCACCTTTCTTGTGACCGGAGTCTCTGGAAAACCGTTGCACTCAAAGCGCTAGACACACTGAGTTTCAACAATAGAAGAAACTGTATTAGGGAATTCCCCGAAGCTAACAATGGGTCTTCTCCTGATTCTCTCTTGTAAACTTCCTTCAAGCCATGTATGTTGTTTGGGTATATTTGTGTTCGAAAGATGTGGCCACTGTGACAAAATAAAAAAGTGAGACAAAATTCTGCTTCTGTTTATGATGGGAGTGGGAAACTCCCATTGAAATCAATATGATCCATATAAACCTGCTACAAAGCAGTGGAGATTGTATCCACGTAACTAAAGACAGAATTAGACCTTTTTGTTTATATATGACTAATATAAAGACTGTGTGGATGAGAAGCCAGTAGTAACTTTGTCTGGATTATTTTTTTTATGAATGAAGAATAGGTTTTAAGTCTACAGTATAATCACTTTATAGACACGTCTCTATTTGTCTTGAATTGAGAAAGCATTGTTTGATGGATACTGAAAAAATGTTCTATACCAGTCAAACTAGTGAATGGCCTTCATCTTGTACAATGTTGCTGCCATGCTGGTAGGAAAATAAACGTTTGGTCTAGACTTGAAGCAATGAATCTAAGTATTATTGATGTTGACTGCTTTTGCTGCCTGCCAGATGTCTACGGGAAAAACACAGGTGGCACAGTTGAGACTAGATTCTTGTCATTCTACATAAAGTGCTAATGTGGTGTTTATTGAATCTGGGCCATTGAACATCATTATATGGTTGTTACAAGTTGCAAAAAGAAGCAAAGTGATTTGTTTGTTTTTTTTCCTCAAATTCTCACCAAGTATCATATGTTCATTTAATTTCAGTGTGAACTGGGAGCTGCGGGTCCAAAAGGGAGTCCTGGCAGTCCTGGGATGAGAGGAAATAAAGTAGGTTTCATTCCTTTAACTACTTTTGTTGTTGTTTTAAAAGTTAATTTGTTTGTTCCCACCTGAAGATCTTGCCTTTGAGCCTGCTTCTGAAAAAATCATTCAGGCAAAAGTCAATGGAAGTTTTTTTTTTTTTTTTAATGACTATAGGTCTTTGATCTGAGTGGCAGCTGTATGCACAGTCCAAGGGCAGTGCATAATCATAAG